ATTATGAGGCTGATGTCTCCCTCTTAAATCAGATTTTGGGAGTCGATGAACCCCAGGTCGTTTATGAGCAATAGCTCTATGTAATCTTGAATCACTAATGGATAAAGTTTGAGTAAACATCTTCTTACAAATTCTTACTTCACATAATTTAAAGATTCTTGTATATTTTCGCCTGGATTCCGTTTTTTTATACGCTCTTTTCTTTTGGATAACTTCGATATTACTGTGAATAAAACTAGTTTGTTTAGCCCAATCACCTAAATTCCAGAAAGAATCAAAAACAGCTTTCCTTTTCGAAAGTGGTATATTTTCTGCGCATTTTAACGGACATCGGCAATCGTATTCAGCAAATTTTTTCTCGGTCACTAACTTGCCAGAAGTATTCGTATAGGCCTTACCGCTATTCCTAAGAATCTTTCGCTGATTTCTCTTCCAGTTTAATTCACCAACAGCTTGTTTAGTTGTTTTACGCCTCTTACCATTTTTTGTTGAGTTATCTATCTGACTACTACTTTGATCATACTTTGTACCAACTGCAGCCGGAGTTGGTATAACTGTTGTTGATACAGTAGGAGTACATGTGCTAGATGAGGATTGGTTGAAGGCGACTTTTACGATAGCATCCAATCCCGTAGTATCTTCTGAAGAAGAACAAAACAAAAGTTGTGTCTGGACGGCTTGTAGTGGTTGATTATCTCTTAGGGGCTTAACTGACTTTTTCGGCGAACAGTCAGTCGGTAAAGCACAACAGACAACAGGGTTCGCTTGTGAAATGGGCACATGTTTTTCCTGAGTCAGCTCAAGAGCTGCTTTATTTATAGTTGTTAATTCAGAGCAGTTGATGGCATTAACGGACGGTGTAAGGAGAGGCGTTTGAGGGGTATAAGGATGCCAGGCATTATTTGTATCTTGATTATGTTGAACTGCTGTTAGATTAACAACCGCTTCCGATTGAGCGGTACTGGCGATGTGTGGATATTGCTATGAAAGATTAGAGAAGGAATCAAATATTTTTAGGTATAATTCTATTATTAAGTGGTACAAACCGCATTTGAATTGTTGATCGAAACATTAGTTATAATATTTTGTGTATTCGTTCTTGATAAATCAGCTGGTTGGGTATTAACTTGAGTAAGCGTTCTTGAGGAAGCCAACGATGTTGCGTAATTGCCATACGTGAACATATGCTGACTAACTTCAGGTGGCTGATACCAAGGAACATAATAGCCGCCAGCTGTTTCACATAGAAATTGATGAAAAACTAATACTTTATAAATGTTTTCATTACAGATCTAGAACAAAGATGATGACTTGAACAATAACTTTTTTGTATTTAACTGCAACGAGTACCCATGGACACTAAAACTACATCCTTAGTTGTCTTTTAGTAATTATTTATAGCAATAACACCTAAAAATAATGGCAAAGAAGTAAAAAATTCACAAAATTAACCTGATTCCTGGCCAGTCGCCATCTTGAATTTGCAAGTTATCGTCTCTTTTTCTGAAGATTTCCTACAAAACAGCGCCATCTTATATCCGTTTAAATTCTATTGTTATTTATGTTAAAATTTACCAATGAAAATAGATTAATTATAAAAAAGACATTTAAAAAGAAAATATTATTATTAGCTAAAAACTTTCATTAAAAAAATTTATTATTTTTTTTACATTAACTAAGTATATTATGCAAATTTCTTTTATTTGCTGTATCGCTTAGACCTTAAGTTCTTTTTTCTTTGCAAAATTTACAATGATCTAAGGCCTATTTTAAATTAAAATATTTTTATTTTGGAGATTTTTAAATTAAATGATAGAACAAAGACTGTGAGAGGGAGAGGGGGAGAGAGAGAAAGAAGAAGCAAACTATAGAGATGTAAAACAAGCTGAAATTATTAAGGTATTTTAGAAAACTAACACAGAACAGTAATCATATCTTTTCTATTTTTATCAAATTAATAATTAACAGAAGAATATTTATTACCTTTGTTTTAGCTTCTCAGCTGTTTTGCATAATTGTCTTACTTTTTTCTCATTAATATTCATGAGAGAAATATACAGTATATATATATATATATAAAATATACAATGAATAAATGTTTGTGTACCATTATTCGCCATAAAATATTATAGTTCTGTTTAAAAAGCTAATATTTCATAGAAAAAAAAATAAGACCTTCAATATGAATATAAAAACACAATAAATACATAAATAATTCAAATTGACTTTGATTAACTGCTATATGTTATTTAATAAAATGTGGCTGAATATGCTATATTCAGTATAATTTACAGTATAATATATATATATATATATATATATATATATATATAATGTACTTATGTTCTAGCGTGAGACTATGTATAAAATATGAATTTTATTACTTTATGACTAATATTCTATGATATCAGGAACGTTACTTCATCAACATATTAATTATATATATATATGATTATACCTATATAACCAGATTTTAGTAGTACTTTCAATTAAAGAGAGAATCTAATCTGATAATGAAGGAGAAAAAGAATACGTAAATAGTATTATATTGATTAAAGAGAATGCTGACTTTAGATTTCATTTCAATAAAAAAAAAACAAGCTAAATAACCATTGCATTAATTAGTTTTTCCTTTATGATAAGACTTAATAATTTAGGTGTGTGATACTTAACTTCCTGGGTGTTTTTTTCATTAATTTGCGAAACAAAACAAAAAAGGAAATAAAAATATAGCTACAGGAAGGAAAAGAAACGGGACGAAAGAAATAGAAAATCAAAAATAGAAATATAGATATAGTAAATCTATTCTATCATATTTATTTAGTCTAGAAGAGGAAATCTGGTTTTCTTTTGATTTCTTATATTTTGAAATTTACAAACACTTGTATTGATTTATTATAAGCAAGATATAGGTATTTATCAAAAAATTAATAAGAATAATCATGCTGTGTCAATCAAACGAATTGAATTATGTTTTTTGCCAATGAAAAAGAAACAAAATGGAAATTGTTATAATCAATACATAGACCATACATACAGTTAAGTTCTTTCTTGTCTTAGTTGATAATTTTCACTTTATCTCTACTTTTCTCTTTTTAATACAGTATCAAAGTTATCTTTAGGTTATATTGTACTTAAATAGTGTTTATTCTTCTAGTAGCGTCTAAAAGAATGGTTGATATTGAAGAAGGAGAGTTAACATTGGGAAACCCTACAAAAGCGTATTATTATCAATGAATAGAAAATTATTAGGCATTGTTACCGAAAAGAAATACAACCAATTACAATCAAATACATAAAAATGAATTATAACTTTCATAGGGCGTAGAGGGAAAATTTGATAATAAAAAAATACATTAATTATATGTTACATATTCTAAGGAATCTGTAACAATTAACATTAATCTATAATTCATTCTAGATTATCTAGATTACTTGGAAAAAACCTATTTAATTGATAATGTATCTATAAATTTATCTAGTTATCCTACAAAAAAAAAACATAAAATAAAGGAAAGTGATAAGATTTATCAAATAAGAGTTTGACAAGCAAATGAAAAAGAAAACTATGCTAATTGATTGATGTTTTGCATTTGTGTAACAGTTTGACAGACTGAATTTTATGATGAAAGCACAGTTTTTGTCAAGATATTTTCTCTATAATATTTACATTACGTAACTTTTATAATAAATTATATTTAATACTTTTTGATAAAGATTTAAATTATCATATATTTCTATTTACAGCAAAATTTACTGCATACAAACATATGTGTGATTTATCTATTGAAATCTTTGTAACAAAGTATGGATGTTGTTGAGGAAAGCATGCCTATTTCACTGATGCAAGAAATTCATGCTTAGTGATACGAAAGATTATTCCGGATTAATTTTCTCTACCCAAGGCAATTTGATAAGTAAGAGTGCTATTTTCCATGAACCATGTAACTATAAACATGAGGAAAGTATGCGATATACTTTTAATGTCTAAAAATTCAAAACAACTTGACTCTTTGTTGGAGAAAACAAAGTAGGATCCGATATTTATTACTGCAATACATGTAAAGAAACATTTAATCGGTGGCGGATGAATGGTTTCGTGCAAAACCTATTTTTAGCGCTTTTTACTTTTTTTACTCTTTCAATTAATTAAAAAAATATGTTTATTTTATACGAAGACATAAAAAATGCCTTACTTCTCGATGGTACCTTATTTATATGAAGAATACCGAAAAAACACAAAGATGTGGTACTTGAATCTCTTACAAAACGAGATTTTACTATTTATTGCTGAGAAAATGCTAATTGGATACATATTCGTCTTGCCACCAGGCAAAGATCATCAAGTGGAGTTTTAATACAATAGATTTGACTGTTCTACTACTCTTCTGACTTGTCTTTTTTAGAGAATTGAAACCTGCTGAAAATTATGGGAGACAATTGAAAAAATTATTGAAAAGTTTAATAAGAAATAAAAGGGAGAGATGAAAAAGCTACACACATCTCCGACTAGAATTGCAATCATGATTTATGAAAAAATGGATTTAGATTAAAGAAACAATAAACTATTTAAATATTCAAATAAAAAATAAAAAATATGTAAATAGAAACTATTATGACCAGTCCACGAAAGGTAGATACTGTCATTTGAAGTTGATAGAATTTTGACAATCTTTCGCTTTTTATAAATACATTATAAAGAAAGTTACCTAGAGTACGCCATCTATTGTTTAATATTATTATTATCACATTCTACCTAGACTATCATTTTATTCTCCATAAAACAGGTTAGGATTTAATAAATTAACAAATAACAAAGAAAGATATTGAAAGCAAGGATAAAAATTTTATTTCAGGCATGGAAGATTAACAGACTTCTTTATCATTATAATTCATTTTCATAATGAAAGAACTCTGTACAAAATTTTAATAATTTCTTTTTTATTTCTTTCACATTTATTATCAAAATTTTTCTTGTTTTCTAAAATAATGCTGCTTATTTATAAGAAATAAATATCAAATCTATTTTATTCAGTTAGCTTAACCAGATATAAATTACAAATAATCAAATATGAAGTTAGTTAATACTATCAGAAAATCTCATTTATATATGTATTCCATTTCGCATAACTGAAGACCTACTTTTTCAACTATTAAGGTTAAAGTTGAAGCTGAAGTTTTAACAAAATATCTACAGGGCTTTATATAAGATTGACTTGTTAGTGTCTTCTCAAGAAATACAGTTATATCAGAACATTCACCATTTTCTATCGTTATTAATATTTCCTGTACTTCCATAAGGAATTCAAAGCTTATTACTGTTAGATTGTTAACAATGTCAAAGCATGTATTGTTATTAAAGTCAAAAAGTTTGTCTTCAACTTTTAATAGACATGATTGAGGATATAATGTATTCACTTTTGGTTGTGAGGTTGTAGAGCAAACGAGGTTATGAACAGTATAGTATATATATTCTGCTTTACTATCTGTATCGCCAAAATATACTTTTTTTAATGGTAGCTTTTCCTTTTTAACAGCAAATTTACCAAAATCAGTATATTCTGCTGTGTCGGTGTAAGGAGATAATGATTTACAGCTAGAAAGTGAACTTCCAGACTTTTCGCAAACGTCACTAATTACACATTGGCATATTCCATCTGAGATCGCATCGTTCAGCAAAAAAATTGAATTATCCCAAAATTTAAATTTATTGTTAGCCCAATAACTATTCGCTTCTGTGTAATTGAATTTTTGATAGCAATTGTAATTAACTGATTTCAGAAAATCCGTCATATCGCTGTTGGTGAAATTTCCGTAATCTACCTTAAATTCATACGAGAATGCATCCTGATATCCAGAAACAAAAGTATTCGGAATTGCTTTAGGATAGATTTCCGTTACTATGTTTGATTTTTCAACCCTACATTTAGCTTCTGCAATTCCACCGTCCTTTTTCCCTCGAATTTGGTAATTTCCTGAACGACGGTTAACTCTTAAAGCAGCTTCGCAACCATAAAATACATTTGCTTGAATACAGGAAAGGAGAGTAAACGAGACTAGTAGAAGAGCAAGCATAGTCTTTGAAGTTGTTTTTGCTATGCCAAATGTCATTCAGGAAGACATGTAGATTTTAAAACATCACTCAATTTATGAAAGTTTAAGTTTTGTTTATTAATTCATTGTAATATGGAACAATAGTGAACATTGAAGAAGCCCTTTGTTACATTTGACAATAACATTTAAATAGTTTATAGTTTAAAAATATCGTATTATTGATTATAAATGTAATGAAAATATTATAACTCTGAAGCTTTGGAGACGGGTTAGCAAATCCTATCAACACAATTAGAATTTTTCTGTACAAAAGCAATAAGTATTGTTTAGAGGATTGACTAACTTTATTAAACTTTATAAGTAGAATGCTTGTGGTTTCTATCTGCCTTCTTCTATTTTGCTTCTCTCAACTGAAAACATTAGAAAATTTATAGAAATTTTATTGAAGTTATTAGGATTAATAATGTAGCGATTTAAAATTATTTAATTTAGCCTATGCCAGATGGTGGAGTGATAAATGTTACTTACAAGTTAAACAAAATTTTCAATTGAAGCATCCTAACAACTCAATGGAATTACTAATTCATACATAGCAGTAAATTACCACAAATTTACTCCTCATTATGATAGTTTTTCAGAAGAAGATATGAATGAATTGTTAAATGATGGTAAATTTAAATGAAGGTAGTCTTTCAAATATCGAAATACTAATAGGAATAGGTGAACAAGAAAATGTACTTTTTAGGATAGTATCGCATACATAATGAACATTGGAGAAAATAGGATGATATTTGCAGATGTCTTTAAGGGATATGTATATAAATTCAGGATCAGCTTTAACAAAATGTCACCTAACCGTGACGCCTGTCATCTTTTCTAAAGATTCAAGTGATTTTCTTGTTAAGAAAGAGAGAGTACCAGTAAAAAAATTCTATTTTTACTTTTATCTCTCACACTATCCATATTTTTATACTTTGGGAATTTGGTATGTTAGTCAAAGAATGATGCCAAAAGTTAAATATTCCTATTTTTCATTCACATGTTATCAATATCACTGAAGCTGATTGTTCGATGATAACTTAACTACCTGTACCTTGATATGTCTTTTCCCAAAATACGGATTATTTGATTATAGGTTGCTTAACGATAGAATCACGCATATTTTCATTATAAATTCAAAAGCATTCGTTTACTCCTATATTCTGTTTAAACAAGATATTTTCAATCTAAGACCTTTCTAAACAGATATGATAAATCGATATTTCAATAGTTTGTCATAAATTTTCAATATTTCCTTGTTAGAAGGACTATTAAAGAAGTTTTAGTCTCCATTGTTAGATTAAATACAATTCCTCAAGAGTTGCTTGTCATCAAATAGTTTTTGGTTTGTTAAAAAGCTTTTCAATATAACGATTAATCTGACAAGTATTTTCAAGATATATATATATATATATATATGTATAAATATACTGTATATATATTTCACCCTTCATTTTTATATAAATCTCAAAATGTATACGTCTCTTCTTCTATGTATGATACTTTTCGCCTTTCAATTTTATCCTATTGATTCTATAGTCACATACAAAAATTGCAACGAAGCTATATGGATGAATAAGGAGTCTGGTGATTATTTTATTCAACCATTGGCTGAAGGTGGCATAGCCAATGTTTATTGTGAAATTCAAAATAATTTTACACTCGTTTCCTTTGTTAAGCCGAATACAAAACCCAATACTTATCTTCGTCAAGTTCCAGCTAAAACTTATTTTATATCATATTCAAATTTTACTGATAATGATATGAGCAAGTTCATGGAGGAAGCAAAATTTAATTGTCGTCAGTTTTTTAACTATACGGAAAGAAATGCTCATATAAGTCATCAGAAATTTACGTTTTGGGACAATACTGTCATACCTCTTCAAAGTAATATAGATGGTGGATGTCTTTGTTTAATAAGTGGAGTATGTGAAATCTCTGGATCGCCAAATACATCTTGTAACGCAATATCAGAGGCTGTCGATACAGAACAATACACAGATTACGGTAGAATAGCAGTAAAAAAAGAAAGGTTACCTGTAAAAGCTGTAACATTTGGGGATATTGATGGTAGTCATGAATATATATATTACACATTGGAAGATTTGATTTGCGAAGAAGAAATCTATCCGAAAGTGAATGTTTTAGAAACTTCAGATTTTTGTTCAAGTACAAACTGGAATATTCTTTTTGATGCGAATTCTACTTCCTGTATTAACTTGCAAAGAAATTCTAGTATCTTACTTTTAAACTTTCCATTTTCAGTTCAAAGCCTAACGATTAAACAACAAGGAGGAGACTGCGAAAATATAATGCTATTTGGAAGAGTACCGCAAAAGTACCAATCTTGCAAGAGAATTGAAACGAACAGTTGCGAATATGACTGCGAAATCGCCAGCGATGAATTTCACATTTACATAAATGAAAAAACTAATATAAATATTTGTGAACTTGAGTTTCGATATCAAAATTTAAAATAAACTTTTAAAACTAAGAAGTTATTTTATTAATAAAGTGACACACTTGAATTGTTAATTAAAAGGAAATTGTAGATATCTTATAATATAGAATTGATAGATAAAAGAATAGCAAAGAAAGTGAAAGAGTTTATGGGGAAATTTTTTGTGTTTAATCTACGATTTCATGAAAGATATTGTGTAAATTGATTTTTCATTATGATATTATTTCTTTTATAAATAATTAGCGACAATTGAAGGCAACATCAATCTATGGCTAGTAAATGTGCACTAGTCAATAAAATTAATTGTACAAGGTATTAATACATAATCGGTAAGATGAATAAGGAGATATTGACCTTGAAGTATGTGATATTTTTATAAATAACGAAGTGCATCAATAGTTTTATTGAATTTTATTTATATGTTCGATAAAAGCCTCCTGAAATTTATTGAAGAACCCTTCTAATGCCAATGACAAAATCTATAGAGTACATGTACAAATATCTGAATTTAATTTCGAATGTAGTTATGGTAATCGTAAAGAAACGACTGGGATAAACAAAAGAATACCAATTCTAAGTAAGTCAAAGAGGAGATAATGCTAATTTGCGTCCTATGACATTTGTTCAAGGTTATCATAATGATACCCTTTATTACTGTATAATACTATTTTACTGTTGATTACACAACCTAAATTTTAAGGTGATGAACTTATAAAAATAGAGTAGAATTATCAATAAGTGAAGTCAGGAATATCTTGATAAAAGACATTTATGGTAAGATTTCGATGAAGTTCTCCTCAACGCCATGATCAGACTTATACAGGACTGATAATCGATTTTCGAAATTTTCTCCTAGAAAGGAAAGATTACCTGTCTAGGAATTTAGACTAAGTTATATTCCTAATATACGAACATGGAAATTGTTATCTGTTTTGATAAAAAAACTCTATTTCATGCATTAGTCTTTAGAGAAATTCTATTGCCTTATATGTAGCAATATATTATATACTATGATAGTATGATGCTCTATATAGGATAGCTTTCAAAAGAATAATGAATACAAATCCCCCCAAAAAAAGTGTACCGAGCACGTCTTAGGTTTACTACCTTGATTTTAATATTTAAATAATAAATAAAAACTAATTTAACCTAATTAGGTTTTCTAAAAATAGTTAAAGCTTTTTGTAACTTTCCCATAAGTCTTTTTCTGTTGAAATGGAGGACACGTCCGTTTAAAAGAGACAAATAAACATGTCAATTTATTTCTAATAAAAGATAGGTAGAATAAAGAATGTTTTTTTATAAGGAATGAGAAAGAGATCTAATATCCCCTTCTTTTTTTGCATTTATAATTGGTTTGTTAGCTAATGCCTTTATAAAGAGTTCAACTATCTATTCAAAGAATTTAAGATCGTTAATAGTTAGTTTTCGGTGTTGAATATATACAAATACAGTATACTGTATATACTGTATATACAGTATATAAACTAATGTTTAAATAAAACCATGATGAAAAAGGATTGTAGTATTAAAAGAAATTTTCTCTAAATAGAAGGCAAAGTTGTTAACTGAATAAATTTACTTTACATGTAAATTTCTATTGGAAATTGTTATACGTAATCTATGAGTAATAATAGTCTTATTCCCAATACAGAAAATCATTATCTCTATAGTTAAATCCTATGTTGTTTTTTCATTATTAAAACTAGAGAAGAAACTAGAACATTTGAGAATATTATTCTTTTTCTAATAAGTTATTAATTTTCTATTCTTCTTCTTATTCATATTTATTATCATGCATAAACAATTTTTAAATATATTATAACTGTAACCTTAAAGAGAAATCAATTATAGATTGAATTAATGTTTTGTATTGTGGAATGCGTCCTATATACAGTATATATATATATTTCCTTTCAATTTATTCACATATCTAAATAGGAATATTCTACTTTTTATTGCTAAAAAAGCACTTTAACTAGAAACAAAAAGGAATAAAAGAAAAGTAGAAAATCTTAAACGTTATTCTATGTTTATATTTCTTTTATTAATTCTTTTAATAAATGTTTCTGTTTTTTTCTCTTTCTACTACACATTTTATTCTTGTCACAGAAATGTCACACTGTTTTTCTTAATAGTTTTTTTTTGTTTTTCATTTGTATTTTAACTAGTTAAAGGAGCCATCTATCGGTATGAAAGTTGTGTAGTCTACGCAGCTTGTATAGTCTTTTAGTGTATATGTTTTTATTATTAGCTTTTCAATTTTATATATTCAATTGTTTATTGTAAAAAAAAAAGATACTGCAAAAAATTGCGAAAGACTTTAGGAATGAAATTAAAAAATATGTAAAAAAAAACATATGCAGTTTAATATTTCAATATTTATGTTAAAGAAATAGAGGTTTTTGACTTTCTTCCTAAAACCGGACCTCTACTTCCCTTAATGGCCGGTAAATGCAAGGAAACCCTACTTCCTTCCCTTTTACGTCCACCGGACGCTGGCTTCAAAGTTGCCAAACTAATTTCCCTTAATTTATATTCCAACGACGTATTATCGGCTTCGACCAAGGAAGGAGTGTTTAAAGCTTGATAGGGACAACAGACAGTACCTATTCGAACAGCGGTCGATGTATTTAACGATTCCACCGTCTTTCGTCTCGTTGCCCTGTCGTCTGTTACCTTTGACAATTGTCTCTCAACTCTTAATCCTAGAATCGTGGAACTTCTCGCGTAGTTTGCCATAGAAGACCCTCTTGGTGGTAAAAGTAAATCTTGTTCGTTATTATTAGTCTCTATTGGATGTAATGGAGAAGCAGATTTAATTTCTTGTGTATCGTGCATCTTGATCTCTTCTACACTTTCTTCTTCATTTTTAGGATTTATTAACTCATTAATTTCGCTTCTTTCCTCCTCTTTGGCAATGCTCACATTCTCCTCTTCTTTCTCCATGTTTGACCAAGTTTTTAACTTCATTAGATCCCAATGGCCCTTCTGTCCAAAGGTACCAATAGCACGACCTTCCAAAGTCCAAAGGCCTACCAGATGATCAGTAGATGCTGTGACAACGAATTTACCAACATCCTCTATTTCGGCGTAGTCAACGCTAACTACAGCTCTATTGTGACCTAACCAAGAGCTATATAATTCAGGGCTCTTTGATTTATTTTCAGTACTATCTATTAAATAATTCTCTATATTCCAAATGAGGATATAACCCGCAGAATCGCCACTTATTAAATATTTATTTTCATCGTCAGTAGCCAAACAAAGAGAAACTTCCTTGACTGAGGAAGCAGATTTATGCTTTCCTCTAAGTAATGGCGTTCCGTGTATTCTCCACCAATATATTAATCCACTATCGGTAGAAACCAAAGTAGCCGCGTACCTTCTAAAGCGACCTTGTATTCTCTTTTGCAGGAATAGTAAAGCGTCAACTGGAGCTGGGTAGGCTGGGGTCAATGGGGATTTTTGTGGCCTATGTCGACGCGACGCAGGTCTCGAAGAAGGTGTTCGGGGCGGGCCGAAACCTGCTGGTCGTGGTCGTCTAACTCGTGCAAAAAGCCCTTCAGTTTCTAAACTCCAAATAACTATTTCACCATCAAAAGAGCCTGTAGCAACTAGGGATGGGGGAGAATGACTCACTGCTAATATGTCGTCGTTATGATACCCCCAGACATGGCCGCTGACCTGGGCTGTATCTACCGAAGCGTCATCGTACGTGGTCAGACGTCGGCTCCAACCAACAGTTAAAAAAGCCCTTGTGGTGGGCAAGTGAACTATGCCAGTAATTTCCTGATCACTTATCCGGTTTAGCGAATGCATTTGATGAGCCGTTTGGGTACTCCATATTTTGACAGTCCCATTTCTAGCGCCAGTTGCCACTCTTCTCCCGCTACTGTCAGTTGTTATCGAAGTGACCTCTTCGTTGCCATGGGTATTTCTAACAAATTGTAACTTCCTCCCGGTAAAAACATCCCACACGGCTAAACTGGAGTCTTCTGCAGCACTCACAACTTGGTTGAATTGCTTATTAAATCTGGCACCTGCTAAGGGAGCGCTGTGAGAAGATCTAGTATAGCGGGAGGCACTTGGTGGTCTGCCTAATCGAATCTGTGCCATATAATCATTGCAGGCAACGACTAAAGTATCGTGGGGAGGTCCCAAATGCAATCTAAGTGGGAAAGGGCCATGTTCCGGTAAGCGACCATACGCAACACATGTGAAATGTATATTGATCGTTTGAACGCAAATATGTTCCCTGAGATCCCAAACTTTTACTACGGCGTCTCTAGAATAGGAGAAGATTAACGTCAAAGGATCGTGTACAATTACATCTAAAACTGCTTGAGCATGACCAGTCAAGACAGCTATAGGTTTCGAAACCACGTAAGGATTCCAAAGGCGGACTATTCTATCATTACCGCCTGTAACTAAAACATTCGATACTTTACTAAGAGCAAAACATTCAATACTCTTAGTTAATTTAAATGTGTAGGTTTTCTTTTTTAAGTGAGGATCAATAACCACAACGGCAGACCTTGGGTTTGAGGAAGATGAAACAATATACTCGCTATCCGATATGTAAGCAATTCTCCTAACAGCCTCCGGATGGACTGCATCGATTGTTCGATGACTTACAAACTTGGATGTGTGAAAGTTAAAATCCTTAAAGAATAGCTTCGTAACGCCTCTTCCTGGTCTTGAGACAACGTCGAAGAGTTGATTAGTCGGTCTAAGAAAAGTAAAGAGATGTATATTGCCAGCGTCATCTCCCCACATAAGGGTAGAAGGTAGTGAAGGTTTTCCAATCTCTGTTTCATAATGAAGACAGCATGGGACGTCTATCAGTCCGTATACAGCGTACTCTTCGTTGTAAGATGTTGATGTAGCATCGAAGAAGCGTAAATCTCGTCCAGTTGTTGCCAGAACAAATTTCCGCACATTTGATAAATACGCAGCATCTGTCACCTGATAGTTTCATATTTATTTGGTAATGGCATCTTTAAAATGGAAACAGTTTAATGGAGGCGTCTTAAGATTGATTTCATATTCCGAAGGATTAGGAATGTTACGTAATAAAATAGATTAATTCCGTTCCTAGGGCGTCTCTTTTTCCTTTATTGCAATAAATGAAAAAAGAAATAAACTTACCCATTGTTTAAAACGACGTTTAGGTGCGTTAGCGTCACTAATATCATTTTGCATAATAGTATTCTTCTCCAATTTAAGTGTTTTCCCATCAACAACACTTACGGAACCTTCTTTACTAACTGTTATATATTTTAGAGGGGCTTCAGCGACGAGAATCCTTGTTGTCGATTCTTGTCTATTATGTAATAAATGCTTAATCTTTGGAGAGTGATGAACCGGAGGTGCAACTGCATTATCACTAAGATCCTTCTCTCTTAATTGTAATAGGACATAAGTACATAATTCATTCCAATCGACAAAACCGTCACAAGATGTATCAAGTTTAGCAAATAGGGAATCAGCGTGTCTTGAGGAGGAAGCCTTATGACCCTTTGGTAAAACTTGAGAAAGCATCTTTCTTAACTCTTCTTTGTTTACTAAACCCGGCTCTCGTCTTCTCCATTTTACGGGATTTTTTCCAAAACCGAACTTAATTGGCACCGGGGGAGGATTATGCAGGGAGAATTTAGAGCAAAGTTCTTCTAATTGATGAACTTGTAAAGCATCCTCAATCTTCTCCTCGTCTTCGTCTCTACAAGAGGAAACATCTTCTAAATCAAACCTTAAACTTCGATCCATCGATAATAAATAGCTAATATGAAACTATTTTGCTAATCCTTATCATTTTAAAGCTTAAAATAATTTGATAACAGGAAATATACTTGAATCGATTTTTTTTCTTCTAGAAGAAAACCAATTTATCAAGTATGTTAATAGCAAGGAATATTTCCCTATTGACAAACTCTACTGTGTGGTTGCTATAGTTGCACCATAGTTTGTCATAACTCGTTCGATATATAATTAAGCAGCTATACAAACCTGCCATTCATAATTTTCCTACTGTAGAAAGTCCTATCGTTGACAAGATTAAATATTGAATATCTCTAGTCAACGGTAAAAGTCAACAGGACCGACTGTAATATATTCTTTCAAGACTAAGCATGCCTTAACAGTGATTTGTTGTTGCTAGGTTGTCATTTATATTATTCGAGTACCCAAATTATAGGCCTACTTAATAAATATATTGTACTAGAATATATATATATATATATATACTCGATATATATTTTGTGCCTTTTCAGAGCTCTTCTTAATATTAGTCTGCCTCTGTTTAAACTACCCTCCTTTTCTATTCAAGAAGAGTAAAGACGAGTCGAGAGGGTTGGTTGGGTGGGTGGGTGGCAAGGAAGTTATGAACGACGGTCAGAGAGGGTGGAAATTGGTCTGTAAAGCATTGAAGTAATCTGTTTCGATTTTCTTCTCCGTTTTCCACTTTATGCTGCTTTTCTTTTTTTTTTATTATTTACAATCTTATTAGTATTTTATTAGAGAATAATTTCGTCAAAGACAGAAATATTTATATTTCTATCTATTTATATAACTGGCCAGGATAGAACTTTACTTTTAACTTAGGCTTAATAAAAAATTATGACGGATATTTTCTTTTTCGATATCTTACTTAATATTTATATTTGATTATAAGGGAGTAAAGCAAAAACAAAGAGAAAGGGAGGGAGAGAAAGATTCTCATAATTAAAAGTAAATAGTTGACTTTAAAGTTGTACGTGACAAACAGGAATCTAGTAATAGTATGCGAATAATTAGTTTATGCTAATTTAATGTATCAAATCAAAAAAACCGTACTATTTACAAAAAATCTCATTCACACACTAACCAAAAAGGTCTTGTGCCTTTTTTTTCTCTCTCTCTCTCTCTCTCTCTCTTTCACTTTCTCTTACTATATTAGTTAATACTGTGTATTAAAAAAAAATGATTATAGTTTCTATGTATCAAGTAGAGGAAATTAACGCCATCGAAAACCGATAGGAATCTCTTATTTATTAGATTATATATGAGATATAATGCTAATGGTAGTGATAATCAATATTTTTTAACGATATAGTCTGATAAGTACCTCAATTATTTTTACTTCTAAAAAAAAAGTAGCCACAATTTAGAATGTAAATAACAAAAAATCAACAATCTTATTAAATTCTTTTGTCTTTGTTATTATCATTAACAGGCCTATGACTTACATACAATATAACAACATGTATGTACGTTATTAAAATATAGCATATTTGTATATAGTACAGTGTATACAGTATATATATTCGTATATATGCTTCTTAATATTTTCAATAATACTTTGGCTATTTCTATTTTAAAAAAAAAATGAGTTATTATTTAAATAACAGTAAGAAATCAATGACCTATTAAAGTGTAAATAACCTGTGAATAGAAAATAAAAAGAAAGAGCAGAATTAAATGATTTAATTAATTAGCATAAAAAGAAATATGAATATATTAAAAGTAAAAATTAAGAGAAATGTAAATTAAATTACCTATAAGTGTAGAAGAGAGAAAAAAAAATAAACATTTCAATTATCGTCACCAATAATGAAATTGAATAGCTATATTTATATTAAGAGAAAACGTTGATTTCCTCTTTCCGTAGTAGTAACAATAGCAATTGTTAAATTCCAATAAGTAATTGACTTTTAATTATTTCTTAAATAGCTTTATAAAGGAGGAGTTTTTTTTATTATGTTAATGAATTTATTTGACTTTTTATGTATAATATTAATATTATTGGAACAAATAAAGGTCTTTTCAATGAAAGACGCTCTCTTTTCTTTTTATAATAGAGAATATAAACAGTATATAAATTTGTAGATCTTCTACTTATTAATAAACTAGACTAGTGGTAACTTTGTTGAATATTTACATAATTATTATTTAAATATTATAATATATGTTCATATTTCATTAACCTAACTAGAAGAGAATATTTACATAAAGCTATAAGGAGCTTGTATTATATTTTATTTTTGGAATATGAAACATGATAACTTTCATAAAGATTATTGAGAATTTATAACTTTATCTTACTAATCCCTTAAATCCTCTTTACATACAGAAAGTAATAAAATATGCAAACTTAAAAAGAAAATATAAAGATATTTCTCGTCTAAAGATTTTCTTTAAGTTAGTATTTCCAAAAAGAAATTTTATCCAATTTCAAAATGTCACATGATGTATTTATTTTACAATAGTTAATTGAATAAGAGAAGATATAAATCTTCTAATATCTTCGTATACAATTTCATATATAATTATATCGATTTAACCGGGGGCGTCTCCTTGTTTTTCTTTTTTGATTTTAGTTTTAAACAACACATCTACTGTATATATAAACAAACGATCAACATTTATAAAAATGGCGATGTATGGTATTTCTATATTAAAATAAATCGTAGCCCTTTCTGCAATTTGAAGTTTTCAAACAATCACAATATCTTAAACTGTAGACGCTGATACTGTATAGTCAATAATAAACGACACCTTTGAAGGGAATAAGATATAGACGTCTTTATAAATTGAGTTGCTATGACGAGAGCAACTATTACCTCTTGATGACTTCTTAACATCCGTTTATGATGTAGCCAATCAGCCTGATTTAATGAATACATTTTCTGCAACAGTTGCTGTTCAGAATATTGATTAGCAGTTGTCAAATTTTTTGGGTTAGTTATTCATTGTTGATGAATGAATGCAAATTTTAAGATGAGATATTTTTGCTTCTTATCTCGCTTAGTAGTAATATTCGAACAGTCTATAGCTTTATAGTCTGTTAAACAGTATTTCACAATAAATATATCGATTATAAACTAATATGATTAAGTATATTTCACTTAGAAACACTAAGTTTTGAAATTTGTATATATATACTAATATACAGTATATAGTATGGTCTTCATTTCGGCACACGCTAAAGCTCTTTCTATGATAATGTAGTCGAAAAGCTTGACATTTTACTGTCTTAACAGTCCTACCGTTAGTCAATTTGCCCTTTTTAAAAGATGAATTCTATTTGCTTGGCGGAGAGCGGTCTTGGCATATATTTAACCCCAATTTCTTTTAAACGATTCCTACGTTTACCAAGTGTAATCTTTCAATATTAAAATACTATTTCATTTATAATCTGTTTATCTTCTCTAAATCTTTGCCATCAATACCTGAATATGAGGCAAACGCGATCTAAATATAGAATGACTTTTATTTCGTCAGGAGAGAGGCTGAGTGAGTGTTTGGGTGAGTGAGTGAGTGACTGACTGAGTGACTGAGTGACTGAGCGAGAGAGGGATGGACAGGAGGCCAGAAAAAAACCCTTTACGGAATCGAAGATATAGGGGGTAAGTAAGGTAAAGGTGGAAATGGGAAGTATAGTAGGAAGCGAAAAAGTAGGGAAAAGAGTAAAAATGATGTAAAGGAAATGCAATAATAGAAATAAAGGGATAAAAAATTAAATATTAATATACACGTGTTTGTCTTTAAAGTATGGTAAACTATCTATTTCAAATAGATTAGGATATATGAGAAGGGATTATATTTCACACAAATTGAATATATATAGTAAATGGCGAATGTAAAAAACTCACCTTAAAGTAAAAAAATAGATAAATCAAAGAATATAATAACAAGAAAGAAAATTTATAAAGATGTATAAGAAGGAAAATAGTTTAATAATGATTTAAAAATACATGAATTATGTATCCATCTAATTATCCCTTCCTCCGTGACAAAAGGGCAAGTTTTCTCTGCGATGAGAATGATGTATAATTTTTTATATGTAAAGGTTAGTATACTGAAGTATACAATAGAGAAAAAAAAGTTACTCTATTTGAATAGATACAATAACTTTATGACATAGCATTCTAACAGAATTGATGAGGAGCCAAAAACCAAGCAGTTAAAAGAAAAAATCGGAGCCTAAGGGACGTCGGGGCGAACAGATGAGTAATGACCAGCACTTTATCGGTACTGTAGATAGAATCTATTAGAGAGACGACTAATATACAACGATGCATTGGGAATTCAACCAAAAGTTCTCCCATATGAATGTGCAATTTACCGATTTTTATAAGCGACAATATAGTAATACACAAGAGAAGAAGATGATTGTAATAATCTCTGAAAAATCCTATAAACAATCGTATATCGTATGTTTAAGTGACAAGATATTGAATAAAGTCATATATAGTAGATAATCTCAATTCTTCTAAACAAAAAAATCATCAAATTTCGTGGTTGATTTATGTAAAGTTCTATCAGTTTTTTCACCTATAGGTTATACTATGAATGCATAGACTGCTGATAAACAATATCCCTTAAAATATCTTCAAGAATTTAATCAGTATTTCAAGGAATATAAAGAGACAGTTTCATGGAAAATTACTGATTATCCTTTTAAAATAAATTATATACTAAATATGACAAAAACAAACAGTTTCGTACGATACTGCGTTAAATCGAAAATGGATATGTAGCTGTAAAAAAAAGGAGAAGAAGAAGACTTCATTCGAAACCCTTTTCAATAAACGAACCCAGCATGACAAACAAATTTTACTGTCGACATTCAGTTAATTGTTTCAATTATGGCCAACTCTGATTGCAAATGTCACACTATAAAATGAAGAAATGGTCTACAAAAGCGCCACCTATCGTTAACAGAGGAAATTTGTAAGTACTTTCTACTGGAAGGGCAGAGCGATCAGTAAGTTTTTACAAAATCTTTTTTTTTTCTAACGTGTTTGTTTATCATCTACATTTTATTGATAATTGACTATAGGAAAGAATAATATACGAAAGTTTATCATACTTGAGGTATATTAATTTAATATTTGACAAACAAGCCATAGCATCTCTCTTCTATAATTAAATTATCATCTCTACACTCTAATATAT